TGGGCTCTTGAGTCAGATAAGGCAAGCAAGCCAGATGCAGAAAAAAAAAAGATGTAAGAACAACAAATATATTTGTCAGGCTAACTCAGTTTGTGTATGGCTTTAGAGGCCTAGATTCTTTACTGATTTTTATTTGATGTTTTTAATATAATTTTAAATATTATTCTTATTTATTAATTCTTCTGTTTATTTACTTGTTTGTTTATTTGTGAACTCTCTAGAGCACCTCCATTTAGGAGTGGAAAGCTAAGGTATAAACTAAGGTATAAACCTTAGTGACAGGGCTGGCACTAGGTTCCAGGGGGCAGGCGCAAAACATGAAGCCCCAGGCCACAACTGCACAGTATTTTTCTTCTTCTGATCACTCACCACTCATATATACAGCCACATGGGAGACCGAGATTCCAGTTCCAGTTTGCGCCTTCATGCATTCTTTGAATCCTGACAGAGAGCAAATAACATGGAAAAGCAAATAACTAAAAAAATCTCAGAAAATAAAAGAGAGAAATGCAAGTTCCAGGAAAGCCTGTTTGGGGAGAGCACTCCATATCCAGGGTGCCACCACTGAAAAGGGCTTCTCTCCAGTGACCAAGGGCCTCACCTCATAAGAACAGAAGAAGCAGCTGCTGGATCAGGCCAGTCAGTTCCAGCAGCCTGTTCTCACAGGGGCCAAACTGATGTTTGTGGGAAACCCAAGCAGGATTTGAGCACAAGAAGACTGTCCCATCCTGTGCCTTCCAATAGCTGGCATTTCAGCTAGGTCGTTTGGCAAACTTCTGGAGAAGGGCATTTGGTTCCAATCTTAAGGACTGGGCACATATACTGTACACAGAAGGAGGCAATCCTTCCCATAGTCTGTCTCCAGGAGGAGCTGTACAGTCTGGCCTTAAGCTGTTTTAAGCTGTAAAGGTTAATACCAGAAATTTGAACAGGGCCCATCGAGGAACTGAAAGTCAGTGCAGATAACTATTGGTACAATCTATAATATCTAGCAGTTCCCAAGAATATTCCTACTGCCTTACTTTGGATCTGCTGCAGTTTTTGAACCATTTTAAAGGGCAGCCTCACTCACCTATTTTTAAGAGAAATGCTTTTACAAAAAGTAGACCAGGATCATCCTGCATGTATTGCCCTGCTCCTTGATGGCACCTGAGCAGCTAAGCCAATGGCAGCCAGAGGGACAAGGACAACTTTGCTTGCTCATACGCACTGAGGCTCAGGAGATCTGCCACTTGCTGGATAACCACACAAGGCTGATTGTCTGCTTATATACTAGTACAGTCATACCTCGGGTTACGAACACTGCGGGTTGCGCGTTTTTGGGTTGCGGACCGCACCAAACCCGGAAGTACCCGAATGGGTTACTTCTGGGTTTCGGCACTTTTGCATGCGCAGAAGCACAAAATGACATCAGGCGCATGCGCAGAAGCGCCAAATCACATCACACGCATGCACAGACCCATCACTTCAGGCTATGAACGCTGCGGGTTGCGAATGTCCCTCCTGCACAGATCACATTCGCAACCGGAGGTATGGCTGTATACAATAATCATAATACTTATTAGCAGTAGAGTTTTCAGAGTTAACTGGTACACATTAACTATCCTAACTGAGATGTTTACTTGGGAAATACCCATCGTTGCACAACCTGAGAGAAAAATCAAGAACAATAGGGAGCCTTGGCAACCAATCCAAAACAAACCTATTTATAAAATATGTCCATTTATTGGAACTTGACTTCAAATGACCTTAAAGTGTGCTACTTACAGAAGCATTTATGATGTGTCTTGAAATGAATAACTGAAGTCTAAAAGAGCACTAAGATCCTAAATTACGTATTTTGAGGACTCCTAAATCTAACTCACTGCACTTTTTTATAGCTCTCCACTTTATATCCTCAGAGATTTAGTGAACTATGTGCTGCAACTAGTCTAGTCTAAAATTACAACCCTTGCATATACATATTTTAAGCAGCATCTTTTATAGGGAGTCACATATATACTTTTTTTTTAAAAAAAGAAATCAATAGATGAACTTGCTAAAACTGGATTAAACCATAAACCTAAATATGAGAGGTGAGAGGAAGATGGAAAGAGGCATAGAGAGGCAAACTGTTGGATAACTTATAAAAATTAATGGCAGGGCCCACTGCGGAGCTGCTGCATTTTCTAATTTCTGGGAATAGCTGAGAGGTTTTGTCAGCTGGCAGCAATTCCAGCAGAAGCATGTTGCAGAGAAGTCTAATCTGTTGTTCTTTCCAGTAAGAATTGAACAGCCAGGGGACTTCTTTAACAGCAGTGACACAATGGTGTCAAGTGTGACGGTTAACAGCGCTACCACAACAACTATGGCTATTAGGAAAGGGAATTGCAACGGCAGAAGCTGAGTCAGAGTTCACAAGGAAGAAATCAGATTCTTGGGCCTCACTGCTCAAGCAATTCCCAACAACGCTGGTCATTTAAAGGAATACCCAACTGCAACCTACAACATGTGACTCTATGAAAAGCCAGCCCATGGCTACACATATACACAGAGCGAGAGATATGCCATTTTAGTTACTTGTAGCCCACCCTTCTGCTACACTTAGGCCAGAGTAATACAGAAAATACAACCAGTCATGCCAAATGATGCAGTAAAATGGAACAATATCATGACACCATCAAAGAGGCATCCAAAACCAGCAGAATAGGCTATAAGGAAATCACCAATTAAAATGTTAAAATGCTTGGTCAAATAAATACGTTTTGACCTGGTGCCAGAATGATTGCAATGTTGGTATTAGCCGTACTCCTGTGAGGAGGGCAATTTCACAAACAAAGTATAATTCACTGGTAATACATGTACAAGCAATGAGAAATCACCAGGTGTTTGGGGTGATCCCAGAGTAAAGTTTATGACTGACACCACAGAGGGGAACTCAGTAAAAGTGGTTTTCTCATATTTTACACTAGATGCTATAAAGTGCAGTGAAGAAATTTCATACCAGAGAAGCTTGGCTATTATTTCTGACAATGCATTTCACTGCCTTCCATCGCTGGACTTTAGCTTTTTCTCTTGATGCAATAAATGGCTATTAGCCTTGAGAGCTACATGTTCATAGGTGGTGTATCCATTGCCAGAGGACAGACAGTGTTGCCTTCATGGTCCACTTGTGGCCTCACTGGAAGCATCTAGCTGGTCATCCTTGGAAACAGGATGTAGAGCTAGATAGATCTGTGGCATGATCCTGCAGGGCAAGTTGAGTGCTAGGAAAACAGAGCAAACTGCCTTATGCCTTTGCAGGCCAATGGCCCATCTGCCTCAGCATTGTCTGCACTAACTAGAATGGCTCTCGGGAGTCTTTTGCAGTCCCACACAGAGATGCTAGGGATCGAACCTGGGAACTTCTGCATGCCAAGCAAGTGCTCCATCACTACATTATGGCCCTACCTGGCAATGTTCTGGTGTTATGTGAGGCATAGTAGCAGACACCAAATATAGGATCGTTCACCCAAAACTGAATCATGGCATGAAGAGCCCTCCCACCAACAGGCAGGGGCGGGTCGCCCCAGGTGTCACCCACCCACCACTGAGGGGGATGAAAAAATGCTGGGCGGCACTCACCGGGGGGGGGCGCAGGCTCCACGCTGCCCCAAATGGTCTGCCTGCCACCTCCCCCTCAGCTGTAGGGCAGCTGAGGGGGAGGAGGCAGGCAGACATCTCGGAGACCTCACAGAGCGTCCTGCTCCGGCTCTCCCTGCCCCCTGGGTGCCTGGCCCCACCCCTGGGTGCAGGGCATGCGCGTCCTCTGGGCGCCCGATCGGCTTGCTCCACCGCTGCCCACGGGTTCGCACACCGTCTGAGCGTGCCAGCTATTCATGGATGGGAGCGGCCCTCACAAAATCCATCCACCACAAAAATGGAGGTCCACTTTAAATGGTATGTGCATGTTGAAGAAGGGACCATAAGCCCAAGATTTACAGTCCTATCTCACTATACACAGAACCTATACATATGTTTCGTTCCACCGGCAAGATATTGTCTGTGCTTGCCCCTTCACTTACCTCCTAACTTGCTTCAACTTCCAGTGCTGCTCCCAGTTTGTTCAAGAGAAATACACACAGAGACCAATGTGCAATTCACTAACCTTTTCAAAAAGTTTATTAGCATCCTTGGTATGTAAGCACCGATAATAACATAACAAAGATAACTTATTTGTAAATAATTCTGCTATATGGAAAGAGAAAGCTGTTTGTATGAGTCAGTGAAGGAACGACTCATTCCTCAAGCCTACCTTCAAAAATCTTTTGCTGAAACAACCCCGCCCCCCGGAGATAGCTATTTTGTCCTATAACTGTGGTTAGTTTTCACCCATAACAAATTTTGAAGGTCTTTGGCTATGAAGAGCTTCATTACATCAACAAGAAGACAAAAGTCTTGCTTGTGATTTGTGTGTGATATTGGTGGCCTTATCTCAACTTCTGCTTTATCTGATCTGCCACTTTCAAGACATTTTAAAAAATTGTTTCCCCCCTGAAATGATAAAAAAGTTCCTTCCTTAAATGATCCCTGCCAATCAGGGATCATGCTGAGATAATATTATTGGCTGTGTGATTTTGACACAAAGTCAAATCAAAGTGAAGACAATGCTTCATGCTGCCTTTCTAAATAGGCAAAGGTTTAATCCTCTTTCACAGCCCAACCCCAAACTGGTGAAAGACATTGTCAAAGGAAGAGAGGGACTGAAACACGCACATGCCCTATTTTGACTTCACCTTTATTGCTGTGCGCAGTTTGTGAGCGATCCTATAACTGTAGTGTGCAGCAGTCCTATTGACATTGCTGATAAAAATATAATTGCTGTCATTTAAAAACCTATAATACTGTATAGGCTATATGGGCCAATTACTTAGACTGCTCTTGTCTGGACTGATTTCACCAATATAACACCAACAGAACTGGTGGGTTACAGGTAGGTAGCCGTGTTGGTCTGCTGTAGTCCAAACAAAATAAAAAAATTCCTTCCAGTAGCACCTTAGAGACCAATGAAGTTTGTTATTGGTATGAGATTTTACTTGGTCTCTAAGGTGCTACTGGAAGGAATTTTTTTGTTTTGTTTCGAGAATTGGTGGGATTTGTTCACAAGAGAAATTCTAGTTTAAATACTTGCTGAGGAACCTTGTCTAAGGCACTGTATCTTAGCCCAGCTCATCTCACAAAGCTTAATTCTCCTGAAAATAACACCAGAGGGGGATATATCAGAGTTCAGTGAACCTCTAGGATAGGACAGGTGAAAAATATTTCACCGTTTTCCATTCCCTCTTTGTTCGGAACAGAAATCTGAAGCATTGAATAATGCATGTATATCATTTTGAAGGGAGAGGAGTGAACAGATGGGGGAAGGTAAAAGCTCCATCGTGCTTTTAGCTAGCTCCAGCTAAACAATTGTTCTAGTTTTGCAAGTTAGCTCTGCGGTTAGACAGTGGGTTTCCTGTCTGCAGTCATACTTAGCTGAAGCAAAAGAAACTCAGCTTGATAGGCCGGTAGTGGTTCATATCTGCTTCAGTTGTGGTGAGCCTTGTGGTGAGCTAACTTCTCACCTCAGCTCTGCAAAATGCAAACATTTTTAATGCAGAAGCAAACAAAATGCAATGGAGGGGGAGGAGGGCTCAGCTAGCCCAATAAGGTAATGAAATGTATCTCTGCTTGTTGATTGGGGAGCAACTGGGGGCAAGCTTGAAATTACAGTATAAGAATGCTTGGAAGACAATAGAGGGGGGCCAGTCTTTGGAAACTATTCCACTGGCTACCTCTGCGCAGAATTTGCAATAAAGCCTTTTTCTCTGTGGAAACCCACCCTGGAGTATGTTTGTCTCCTTCATGGTACCAGCAGGGGCAGGTGACTGGAACCGGACCCCTTAGGATCAGATATCCTAACAATTTCACATGTATGAATATATGCATGCTAACAATACCTGTGTATGAATGAATAATACATTGGTAGTATTCACACAACTCAAATATTGTGGATAACAAGACTTAAAAACAAAACAAAACACCAGAGTGTTAAAAATCCTTCCTTATAGGTCAATATCTAAATTAGGTTTGACCAGTCAGGAAACAGAATATGAACAGTTCGTAGGACTAACCGGCTCCTCAAAAATTTCAGCTCAGTGTTGTAGAATGCGTTAGAAGGCAAAGAGAATAGACAAATTGCAATGAGCAGCCTAAATAATGGCCCAATAGAAACCAATAATTCAACTACAGTCTTGAATAATGTGTCCAATTCTGACTGCTAGACTGGACAAGGCTAGAGTATAAATAGAAAAAAAATATTTTCATGTGTAAATCCACATCAACAATTCCCTGTATTAGAAATGCAGAGCACATTGCTACAATTTACACAGATAGCGACCTGTTTAATAGGAAGAGATCAATTACTCAGGTTATGCTTCACTTTTTCTGCTGTAAATATAAGATTCTCTAGTTGCTGGAATGTGTTTGCACAGGCCAGTAAGCAAATTCAGAAAGTTGAAGTCAGGGAGTCCCTTGCTTTGCAATGCAAATCAGCCTATTAAGACAGAGGCAGTCACAGTGTTATGAAGCCAAAAGAACAAAGAAAGAGAGCACCTGCTGTAGTTTCATAGTGTGATCAATGATATTCACCTTCCCGTCTCTGCTTAACTAGAATGCCTATCAAACCCAGAAAATGGAAAGCTTCAAAATGTTATCCGGTCGGGTTTTTCTTAAAAGGTAGAGTCTCTTTTCCCACCCCCACCCCAGTAATAGATATCCCTGCTGAGCAGAACTAAGGAAGGAAAGTGGAATGATAAACCCTCTGCCCTTGTGGTCCTCCTGCTACCTTAGAATGGAAGCAGGGTGTTAAAAGCATTTGGTAAATATTATCAAGACTAACATTGTTTTGTTTTGTTTGTTTGTTACACTTGTATATCCCAACTTTTCATTAAAAATGTCCATGGCAGCTAACAATACATCACAATAAAACTCTATAAAAATAAGAGCAAATTAAAACAGAAAACAAAAAACCCCACATGACAGTCAATTAAAAACATAATTAAAACAAATGAAACAGATTAAAAACACAGAGCAGCATTAAAAAACAAACAAACCACCTCGACATCCCTCAGTTTTTCCCACATTGTGCACCAAGGCACCTTAATGTGCCACAAGAGGAAGTATGCTGTTAAGAGAGATAAATTCATCCAATAATCAAAGGCTTGCGTGAGTCAAAAGCACTCAGCCACAGCAGGAAACCTCCTCTAAGGGTGAATAATTCTGGTGTCTATCTGCATCACATGGGACTGAATTATCCAACCACACCTGATGCAGAGGAACAGCAGAGTACTTACGGAGAGAGACAGGATGCCCATTGCAAATTTATGAGTCACTGCTCTGGGCTTACCACCTTGCACTGAAGTGGCACACATAGGAGAAAGATTTGTGCAGAATCACAAGAGAGAGAACCTAATGCTTACTGTTCCACACCTAGAAGTTTTTGTTTTTGTTTTTAAAAGGAGAGTGAAGGGTTCAGAGACTAAAGATGACACTAGTTTGATAATGGCCCTTCTTAATAATGGTCCTGCTGGGGCTGTTGTGAGTAACGCTGCCAGGTCGTGCCAGCCTATTCCATACGACTGCAGCTTTAAATTCCACAAGGAAGTAGGAGACAAGACAGCTGTGGTTTCTTACTTATCCACAACCCCTTTCTGCAATAATAAGCAGGATCCTAGGCATGCCCTGCAGGGCAAAGAGAAGAAAGGCAGGTGACAGGGCTGAGAAGGAGGAGAAGCTGCTGTTCTGACGTCTTCTGTGTCCTTCTCTCACTGCATACATGCACACCCTTCTGTTCTGCAGACTTTCAGTTCTTATGTCACATAACAAGTAGTGGCAGAGGACATCAAATGTCACAACAAAAACACTGAACTAACTGCTTTGCAGGGCAGCGGGGTTGTCTCTTCATGCACTGCATAAAATTCAAGTTATTGATTTCAGTTTCACCTCAGAATGATCAGAATTTGGGCAAAATAATCCAAGCAAACAAACAGGACAATACATGCTATTTTCTGGTGAAGACATCACATGGCCACGTTTTCTGTTTTCTTGAAAATGGTTGTGGGGGATGATCAGGTAGCTGAACAGGAAATGTAGCACTGTGTCCAAATTTCATTCTCTCGTCCCATGCAACATACAAAAAGTGCCAAACAGCGAAGGTAAGCCTACAGCCTCACTTAGCTCAGGTGAGAAATTGTGAAACGGTTCCTTGTTTGCAGCCAAATATTGTTGCACACTGTCTGGATGCTGTGCCGAAGTCGGCAGCTCCAGTGCCTTGCTGAAAGACAGAGGCCTTCAATCTCAGCAGCTGTATATCTGTCATTACTCTCTTAAGTACCAAAATTCCCATTAAAAGAAATAAGATGCCTCTGGGTGTAAAAGTCTGAATAATATTACCTAGATAAAATACTGTAGCCTCCAACCTCCTCCCTCCCTCCCTCCCCCACTGAAATTGATTCATGGTGATTGAAAATGTCCAGTGACACAATTCTGAAGCCAACAAAATAGGATTGCTTAGAAAGCGTGTTGATTCAGAACTCCAAATACATATTTCTTTCTTGCCTAAACCAAGGTGGGAGTGACATATTGTTCTTATAGAAGGAGCAAGACCTAGAGAAAATGGCCTAGTGACCAGAGCTGGCAATTCAGAGTTCAAAGTCAGCTGAAGCATAACTTAACATTTTTGCTCATTGAAATAGCTGCAGGCTTGATTAAGTCTCAACCTCTCCATTTGGCCAACCATTTTAGGCAAACTATGCCTACCTGTCAACCACTTGATGTCATAAGGTGTCCGACATGGTAAAGTTACAAGCGTGTCACACACTGCGGTTAAAAGGAAGTTGGAGCCCCTGCACAAAGACAGTTGGTGCAGTTCCACTGGCAAATACAGAAACAAAGGGAAGGTGATGCCTGGGGATGCCAGGAATTGCCTTTGGAGAAGTGTGCTGACCTTGTGGTGCAGTATGGAGGAGAAACAATTTGAAGTCTCTGAGCAGTTTGTAAGCAGATATTGTTGCTTCCACTTTGCCAGGAAAGACCAATGCAAAAAAGAGGATTGGCCTGCCCTGCCCCAAGAGAATATTGCTTTTGCCCCACCCATCATTGGGCTGTGGCCCTCAGGTTGGCCATGTCTGAATCTAGCACTCAGGCCTAAAGAGCTTCTCCACCCATTACAGATTGTAGCTGTGGAATCCATGTCATGACTGTAGTACATGGTGTAGTGGTTAAGAGTGGCGGACTTGTAATCTGGTAAACCAAGTTAGCTTCCCCGCTCCTCCACATGCAGCTGCTGGGTGACCTTGGGCTAGTCACACTTCTCTGAAGTCTCTCAGCCTCACTCACCTCACAGAGTGTTTCTTGTGGGGGAGGAAGGGAAAGGAGATGGTTAGTCACTTTGAGACTCCTTAAGGGGAGTGAAAGGCGGGGTATCAAGTCCAAACTCTTCTTCTTCTTCTCACTCTGAGCAGCTGCTAAGTCCCAGCCAGAAGAGGCAAGACTAGGTAGATCAGCCAGTGACATCAAAAGCAGAGATGCTGGCCACAGACCCAGGCCTCATCTCCAAGGCCAAGCCTCAACCAGATCCTAAGCTGTGGGCCTGAGGCCTTTGGACCAGTGACCCAAAACAGGGATCAGAGCAAATTACTTTCCTAGAGCTCTCCAAAGTAAGGTACTTCTGTTCTGGCCTGCCTCACTGCTTGACTCCGGGATTTTTGGTTAAGGTCAGGACAGCACACTTCTTCAGAATCAAAGCATTCTTTTATTTAAAGGCATGCATCTAGTCCTTGTGGGTGTAAGGGTACGCTGTATGGGCAATACCCAGTACCAGTGCTATTTCTTCTAGAAAAAGATGTGCCAAAACTCACCTTGTTCTCTTATAATGACAATGGTGCCCACCTAAGAAGTGCCAGAACTGAGTTCCAGCTGAAAAAAGCCCTGCCTGGTACATCCACAGCCAAAGAGTTAACATTTCCAGGGCAACAGGCAGCGCTTCAGCTCCTTGTGACTCCTCAAGATTAGCAAAAGTGAGT